CAAGTTTGCAGACGATACTACGGTGATCGGACTCATCAACGATGATGACGATTCAGAATACAGGAAGGAGGTGCAGTGCCTAGCGATGTGGTGTGCTGACAATAACTTATTACTTAATACTAACAAGACCAAAGAGCTCATTGTGGACTTCAGGAAAAAGAACAGTCACACACACTCTCCTATATACATCAACGGGAGAACAGTAGAACATGTCACCAGTTTCAAGTTCCTGGGGATCCACCTCTCTGAGGACTTGTCTTGGCAGATTACACCACTAGTCTGATTAAGAAAGCTCACCAGCGCCTCTTCTTCCTGAGGTTACTGAGGAAGAATCACCTCTCCTCAGCTATTTCTGACTAATTTCTACCGCTGCACAGTTGAGAGCATCTTAACTAGCTGTATCTCAGTTTGGTATGGAAATTGCACTATAAAAGAAAAAAAGGCATTACAGAGGGTGATGAAAACCACCTAACACATTATAGGGATTCCACTTCCTGCCATTGTGGACATTCAGAGGAAACAATGTCTGCGTAAAGCCCACAGCATCATTAAGGACCCCTTCCACCCAGCCCACAAACTGTTTACTCTTCTTCCATCTGGGAGGAGGTTCAAGTGCCTGCAGTCTAAGACCAGCAGGCTAGGGAACAACTTTTACCATACAGCGGTTTCCTTGCTGAACTCCTCAGTTCGTTTGTCGCCACACATATGCTGATGCTTCCCTTGATAATATATATTTTGTATAATTCTCTGTGCATCTGTATATATATTCAACGTGTCCATAAACATTTTGTATAGTTGTATATGTTCATATATGTGCAGTCACACATATCTTTGTGTGCTCGTGTACATACATTTTGTTGTGTTTTCCATTGATGCCTTGCATATTTGCATACGTATATTTATATTTTACTGCTGTCTTGCACTCTGGTTGGATGCTAACTGTATTTCGTTGCCTGTATCCATGGCAATGACAATAAAGTTGAATCTAATCTAATCTAATCTAACGATAATAAGAAAGGTTCTTGAGTGTGCAGAGATGGACAGGTTCACTATGGAGTTACAAGACAGAGAAGAAACGGAATACTATAAGATCTGGAATGTATGGTACCAGTGGTTAAAGAACAGAGGTACAATTGTTACATGAAGAATATGTAGAAGTTATAGTAAAATGGGGAAATATTGTATATATATTTGTAAATATTGTTATAAGTAGAAAAAACTATGTAACATATAGAATATTAACAATTATATCAATGTGAGTGACTACTGTAACCTGAACGCTGTAATGAGTGTAAATGTGGTGTTTTAGTTTGAAATATGACTAATAAAATTTACTTTGAAAAAAAAAAAGGCAAGTTTGAAACTTCCCCCCATAATCACAATCTCCAATCAGTTCTGTCCATCAGTCCGATGACTCCAAACTCCATCTTCCTCCAGCTGCAGGCACCATCTCAGTTCCCACAGGAAGGAATGCCACTTAGCCATAACATTCCCCCCCCCATATCTCTACAACACCCCTTCCTGCTGCTAGAATGTGATGAACTGAAGCACTGTAAAATTCCTTTGCAGAAAACCTAAAGAAAGCTAAGAATAGACAAAGGCTACAATAAAGTATGACATGACACATATGTCAGCTTCAGGGTCAACAGTAGGTGGGAATTGATATTTTGGAACGATAACTTCTCTGCCTAACCTACCAAATAAAAAAATTGGCTCCAGAGTTTGAATGTGGACACTGAAGAGTAGGTGCTATGTTTGAGGATGCATTTTATATATCTTATCAATTTGAAAAATATTCTATACCCTGCTGCAATGTTTATGAATTATTTATTGATATTTACCATGTTAAATTTTTTAAAATGATGCATTCACTGGCCTAGGCCAACAAATAATTTTGATTGCCTGACTCCCAAGAGGGACTTGATGACCTCCAGGAACCTTAGGATCATACTTTAAGAAACACTGTCCTACTGTGTTATGTGCTACACATCCCATTGTGCTTACTGTGTAATCTTTTCCAATCTATTGCTTTCTAAACATTTTTATTTATTTCCCATCACTTTTGCTATACCTTTTAGTTGTGCCAAAAGGAAGAATGTAATTAATTTACCTATTTGGCAGTAAACTGTTCCAACAGTATTTATTAGGAAATAATTACAGTAATAAGGTGGTGATGGTATTAAGATAACACAGCTCTCAGTGGCTCAGACACAAGCCGAAACAGTCGTGCTCCCAGCTATTTAATGCGCAGCCCCATAATTTTAGACCACAACTATCCTCAGGACAGAGTTACAGAACTAGCAGTTAATCATTCCTTTATTTCCATGCCATGATCCAAATTAAAAAAAAAGCTGTACCTATTGAGATTTCTCCCTGTCAATCTACTTTTAAAGCCCAGAAGGAAAGCTAGCAGCAGGCACACATTTGTACCGACCCGCCGACAATGCTTAAACGGGCTGCAAGGCTTGCTCCCTCTCTGCATGTGCCGCCCCCAATTGGCGCCCTCCTCTTTCCCCCCCGCCCCCCCAAAATAATATTTTTTTAAAAAAGGAGGAAGGCAACCGTGAAGATCTTCCAGCTCTCGCGACGTCTCAGAAGCACCGAGGAGGGGGTGAAGTGGGCAAGCGCGTGGGGCTCTGGGAAACGAAGAAGGCGGAGTGGGGGGGGGGGGGGGAAAGGAATGAAATTCGCAAAGGCCTGTGGGTGCGAAGTGGGGGGAGCAGGAAACGGTGTTCTTGGTTGGGGAGGGAAACTTCCGGTTCCGGCTGGGCCTGTGTGAGTTGCAGCCTGGCAGTGGCCCCCCCTGCCCCCGCTCGTGAGGGAGCAGAAACGCCCCCCCCGCTTATCCAGGGGGTAAGGGAAGGGCCAGGGGGCATCCCCCACTCTATATCTTGCTATCCAAGGACCAGCCCCTGCCTGGGGCGCGGAGGAGGCTGGGGCAGCGCCACACACCGGTGAGTGCCACCATGGAGCCCACTCTGGCCCCTCGGTTCCCCCCCCCCCCCGTACGTGATCCCGAAGGCGAGGTAAAAAAAACCCTCGCACAGATAACAACCGCAGCGCGCGGCTTTGGTTAACTTCCGCTCCGTTTGAACAGCCCCACCCCGGCTATTCCGCGATCCCGACTCACCTCCCCCTCCAGCACACGCGGCTTTCCAGCCTGGCGCCCTTTCCCCGTCGCGCATCTCAAGAGCAGGCCCCACGAACCGAAGCCGTTATCTTTGTCGTTATCTCTCCCCATCGACCCCGCGAAAGTTGTGCTCTAATCCTTTATCTGGGCTAGGTCAACCCCGTGCCGCCCCGTGAGCTCAATGAACTACTGTCCTCCCATTTCATCCTTAAGCCACGCAGAGTCCCGTCAGGGCGGTCGGCCGTAGACATCGAAAAGAGAGCCAGATTCCACATTCTTTCCCATAAAATAAATATTTTCCATATACCTTCATCCAGCCTGTAAACGTATTGTACAGTCAGCCTCCTTTTCAGCCAGAAAGTTGCCATTTTGCTACTTGCCTCAAATGTTATCTCAACTCCACCTTTTTTTTAATTGTCTGCCTTAAAATTTCTAGGAATGTAGGATGGTGCCTTCTATCTAATTGGATCTTGGGTCTAACAAAATTACTTCTGTCCATAGCAGCTCTCTCCATCTTAATGCTTGGATGTATTGGATTGCAACTCCCATAAATATTACGGTTCCTAGGAATGAATGGATTTGCACTTAAATGTAATTCAAGGCAACAAAGCTAAGGTTTCCTGTTTCTGCGATGGCATTGATTCTTCAGATGGGCGTCCTTCACAAGCCAAGTTATGAAGATAGCAGCACCTCCCTAGTTTGGATATTTCAGTAACAGATTGCAGGATGGTATCCCTCTCTAATCAGCCCATAAGACACTCTTGCAATATTATATTAGCCTTAATTTTCCTGCCCACTTTATCTTTGTTATTGAGAAGGATATTTCATATTCTTTCTGCTTTGTAACAGATTGTAGACTTTAATGTCTTTTTACATATCTCAGTGTCAGGAAAATACATAAGTACATTGCATTTTTTTGGTTTTACTAACTAGATTTACTCTGTCTTACATTGCTGTATGCAAGAAGTTCTCATTTACTGTTTACTGTTTAGCTAAAATAGCCAAAATACTCTACATTCCTCTTACCCTTTTTTGCATGGTGTTACTGTAGGCTATGTGTATTTTTAAAGGCAACTTTCTTAGACCTTGATGTACCTATTACAGGGAATATCTCTGCAGCATTTTAGGAAAAAATTGTTCATGTTGTTTTACCTCAGGCATTTCTTAATAAAAGGTGGTGCAATTTTGCTTTGAAAACCTCCAACCTACTGTTGGTTGGTTTGTTTATAAGAAATATGTTGATACAGATTTTTTTACCTGTAGAACAAAACAGGAGCAATAAGGAGTACAAGCATTCATTACTGGAAATTTGATTGAGCCTCTTGGCCTCTATACAGTATTAATTTCCTTCTCAGTGTATGCTTTCTGTTGCAGGATGCAGTGTGCAAATGAATGTATTGTTAAGTTACTCTTCATTAACTTGTTAGCTACATTGTATTTTCATATCTTCAGACAGATAGTCTCTTTTAAAAGATAATTTTGGCTCAATTTGAATTGATCAATAGTGAAGAATTTACTTTTTTACTTTAAAAATGTATTTTGCCCTGGGGGGAAAAAGTATCTCTTCACAATGCTTCTTGGCAGCTTTTCTTACTACGGGTAGTCCTTGACTTACAGCAGTTCGTTTAGTGACCATTTGAAGTTACAACGGCAGTGGAAAAAATGACTTTTGACAAATTTTTCACAAATCACTGCAGCATCCCCATGGTCACAATCAAAATTCAAATACTTGGCAACTGACTCATATTTATGATGGTTGCAGTGTCCAGGGGTCATGTGATCACCTTTTGCGAGCTTCAACAAACCATCAATGCAGAAGCCAGATTCACTTAATAAGTGTACTACTAACTAAATAACTGCAGTGATTCACTTAATAACTATGGCAAGAAAAGTCATAAATGGGACAAAATTCACTTAACAACTGTCTCATTTAACAATGGAAATTGTGGTCATAAGTCAAGGACTACCTATATTTTGTTGTTTCCAAACTGACTTCACTGGGTCCATGTAATTAATATAAACCTAAATTTTTCCTAATGAGGGATCATATAATTTATTTATTTGATTTATACCTCACAGGAAACCAGTTGTACATGGCATTTCCTCCTCGGACCACTGCTCTAGTAGATTTGACTTAGACTAAACTTGAACTTGATGTCGGTCCAATTCCTTCATCATTGAATCACACTGTTATTAATATCAATATTAATGTATGGCACATTAGGTACTTTACTTTTTTGCCTTTTTGACATTAAACAAAGATGTTTGTAATAGAAGACTCCCTTTCAGGAAACTGGCCTTTGCTCACTCTACATATTTTTCTATCTGAGAATCCTAGGGATTGATTCCCAAACTTTCATCGGTTGCATTATACCTCAGCGCACTTGCTAAAATAGAAAAAAAAATGTGATTAATTTATTCATGTTGATAAAGTGGGATGGAGCTGGATGACAACATTTTCCAACCTCTTGTTTTTCATTGTGCAGAAAAGAGTAAAGAAAGTGATAATTCGGCACCTTAATTTCCTGAGACTTAATAAATAGAAGTTAAGTTAAATTAAAATTTATAGCCCTCCTTTCTATTTATATAAGCCCTGGACATAACTTACAATAAAGTTTAAATTAAATTCAATTAACTGAAAAAAATATTGAAGGTGAATCATTGAGCAAGGCAAAGTAGATAACCTTCACCTTTTTACTCTAACTTTTCATTGGGCTGTGTAATCTATCCTATTGTTTTGCCTGGCTCTCTCTTTTTTGGCAGATATTTCCATCTAGCTCACAGATCAAGCTATTCATGTACCGAAGAAGCATGAAAACCCCACGTAAATAACTGCATGTGACAACATCTATGCATGACACTTATTGCATGCACACATATGAAGTATGTTTTCTATATATATGAAGAAATACAGCATACCAGTATGTGTAAATGGGGAGAACACAGTTATGTGTGATGCTACTGTAGACCATGGCTTTTTTTGTGCTTGGTCCATGTAAATGACACAAGGCATTTTTTTCTAATAACTTTATTATATTTCATATTTATTTACATCTCCTAAACCTTTCCCCCCCCAAAAAAATACTTCTTTTATATCCTAAGGCTAACAAATATGAGTGAAGATGGTAATGACTTACCAAATTAATACTAACATGATACATTTTGTCCATGGAGCAAGAGAATCATTTGTGTACCAGCTCAGAAATGTAAGAAATAATCGTATGCCATTCAATTCATGGACAAATACAGCAGTTGAAAAAGTTCACTTAATATTGAGGAACTTTTTGGAAATTATTTGCAGAAAATACTTAGAAGCAAGAATATAGAACTTATCTGCACCTTTCCTGATTTGCATTGCTGCTCTCTGGAGCTATAATTGATTCCTGGTAAAAAGGTAATTGCTTTTTAAAAAGTTGCAGATAGATAATAGTGGAACACTATTTTGAAATCAAATGCAAAGTATTGTACAGCCCATTTAATCAAATTGTAATTTGTTTTTCCCGTAGTTAAAGTCTTCAATGAATACCTAGGATGTGTAATATCTTTATGGAATCCCTTTGTCTTGGATTGTTGCCACAGTCCTCTATATACTCGTGATGTCCAAAATTGAACTGGATTTTGATTTGCTAACCTAATATATTTGACGATACTATATTTGGCAAAACTGCTTTTAATAGGAACCAATCTTGAAAAGGCAACGCTTTTCTGCCCATCCATAAGCAAATATACTATTTTGTATAATTGACTGTATCCATTTGTGATCATTGTTAGCTGTCATAGAAATCATTTAATGGGTAGTATAAAGAGGACTTGGTTTAAAGGCATACAATGCTAATAAACTTCCTGGGATGGTAGATCTTTTAGGAATGCCACTTTAAGTATATCCTGAAACAAATATAATTAAAATCAGTAGACCTCAGCTTTTTAAAATGGAGCTGTCTATATGTAGGACTGCAGTTCTATTATTCCTCTTATAGAACGATGCTGTTTGCAGGACACACTGTAGACAGCAACAATGGGAAATAGGAGACATAGGTTTCTGAAACCTCTAAATGAGCCCTCTGCGTCTTTTCCAGTTTTCCATGGCTACCTTTGAATCATTTGTTTAGTGCATTACCTATATTAAACTTCTGCTTCATGAGTGAGCAAGATGTTACAGAAGTTTTTGGACTGCCATTCTCATCATTCTTGGTAACTAAGCAAGACCTTTGGGGGAAAAGGCTGAGGCCACATCTAAAATGTAGTTTTGTATTGAAATTAGATGGATTAATACCTTTCTTTCAAGACAGCAAAATATTAAATTAAAATGTAATTCTTTCATGCTGTTCTAGTCCATTTTTCTAATATTTTACATGAGCTTGGAAAAAAGGAGAAATATATATAATTGTGAAGATATTTATGAAGTATCTTGTGAGATAAAAAACATACAGTAAAATTAGCTTCACAAGTATGATCTATGAAACTTATGTGGTGATATTTGTTTTAATTCCTTAGGTTCCACAGGAATTTCTGTAACATTTCTTCAGCTAACATTTTCTAACTCAAATAATTGACAGAACAAGTTTTGTATTCCACTGTTAGTACTTCATTTTTTTAAAAAAAATTATTTAGTGTGCACTTACATCTAAGTATACTACAAACAAATGATAAAAATCACCATACTGTATAAATGGGTATCAGTAATATACTACAATGGTAACCTTTTAAATGGATGCATAAGTTTATAATTTTGGATTCCCAATTATTTGCATGGGACAAATAGATACTGAATTTTCTTAAGGAAACTATCAGGGAATTGTGCACCCAGTGTCCAAATGGAGTCAGACGCTGAGACGAACATGCAGTTCTACATAAATAAATATATTTACAGTAAATAAGATAGGCAAACACCAGATCAATCAACACAGCAGTTACATTTTGAGGTAAATTACAGAGAGCATACATAGCACACAGAGGAAAAAGGTGGGAAACTAGAAAACTCCCCCTTTACTCCAGTTGCTCCAATTATAGCTCAGATTCCCTCGTGATGTCTAGCTCTCTTTAACCTATTACCTATAACTGTGTGTTCTTACTCTTGGTCCAACAGTTCACTGCTCCAGCTATAAATTTTTAAATAATTTAATATCCTCCAATGTATAGTTGGACAGCATTTAAATCAAATTATTTCACAAGATACTTGTGTTTCTATATATCCATTGGCTTTATCATGAGGTCAGCCAAATTATCTTTCGGATGGATAATAAATTAGGTCTATTAAATTTTCTTTCACTGTGTCTCTGACATTACAAGAAAACACACCATGCCACTGTGCAGCTGCTGATGTGGATAACCTGTATCCCGTATACATATTGCTATAGTCTTTCTCCCCTTTCTCTAGGCAGTGCCCCCTCCCGGGTGGAGATGGAAGCCAATGCAGCAAGCGATGAGGGTGTGCATTTCCAGAGCTACCCTTTTGACTTCTTGGAGTTCCTGAACCACCAGCGCTTTGAACCTATGGAGGCCTACAACCACGAACACGCCAAAGCTGTTGCTGCCCTCCCTTGCCCACAGCCACAGTATGAATATGCCCAACCACCAACAGCTGGTCCACCTGCTCACTTTGACCGTGTCCCTGCCACTATTGGCACACCTAAACCCAAAGCTGAGGGCCCATCCTCTTCTTCCTCAGCTACCTCATCAGGTACCATTCAAGTCAAGAAAGCTGAACCAGGGGGCCCTGCACCACCTCCACCCCCTCAGCAGCAACAGCAGCAGCAGCAACCACCATACAATACTCCAGCTGTGGTACCAACAGCAGGTCAGCCTCTCTTTGACAGTACAGCAGCAGCAGCCGCTGCTGCTGCTGCTTACAACACTCCTCAGTGGGGCATAGTAGACCTTTCTGGCCACCAGCATCTCTTCAGCAGCCTGAAACGTGGGCAGGCTCCCCCATCAGCTGCAGCCACGGTAGTTCCTGACAGTCAGGCAGGCAAAGACGATAAGAACTATTTCCGTCGACTGAAATACTTCATTGATCGGCGCTTCCCATGCGGTGTATGCCAGAAGTCATTCAAGCAGTCATCCCATCTTGTGCAACACATGTTGGTGCACACAGGCGAACGGCCATATGAATGCACCACCTGTGGTCGTACCTATAACCATATCTCCAGCCTCATCCGGCATCGCCGTTGTCACAAAGATGCTGAGGATGCTACTGCTGCTGCTAACGCAGCAGCTGTTAATGCAGCAGCTGCCAACGCTGCGGCCGCCAATGTAGCAGCCGCCAATGTGGTTGCTGCTGCCGCCGCTGCTGCTGCTGCCGCCAGCATAACAGCAGCACCTGGTGCTGAGGGAACAGCCCAGCCTCCTACCCAAAGCGGCAACCCTCAGTCAGTTGCTACACCATCTGGAGGAGCAGCCACATCTGCCCTCAGTGCTGCCATAGCTCAAGCCGAAGGTCCTTTTACCTGCTCTCTGTGCTGGAAAGTGTTTAAAAAGCCAAGTCACCTTCACCAGCATCAGATTATCCATACTGGTGAAAAGCCATTTTCCTGTTCCATCTGCCAGAAGAGTTTTAATCGCCGTGAGAGCTTAAAACGACACGTGCGGACACACTCGGATCTGTTGCGAGTGCAGTGTGGGGTTTGTGGCAAAGAATTCCGGGATGCCTCCTACCTCCTCAAGCACCAGGCCACTCACGCTCCTCCTGGAACTTTACCTCCACGACCTGAGTACAAATGTGACATTTGCGGCAAGGGCTATGTAGCTCCCCAGAATCTACTACGTCATCGGCAGCTCCAACATGAAGGTGCCCAGCTGTCCAAAGATGGCACTAATACCTTGCCTTATCTGCCACCAGGGGCCTACCTCCTTCCACAAGACCCACAAGGCACAGGCTCTGAGGGAGATACCAAGCCAACATCTTATGGTCTCTTGGGTGCCCACCCCTTGCTGGTGGGGACAGCAGCAGGCAAGAATTTCTGCTGTGGGATCTGTGGCCGTGGATTTGGGCGACGGGAGACACTAAAGCGTCATGAGCGGATCCACACGGGTGAGAAGCCTCACCAGTGTGCAGTGTGCGGGAAGCGTTTCCGTGAATCTTTTCACCTCAGCAAACACCATGTAGTGCATACTCGGGAGAGGCCGTACAAATGTGAAATATGTGGGAAAGTGTTTGGTTACCCCCAAAGCTTAACGCGGCACAAACAGATTCACCGATTACAGTTACCTTGCTCTTTACCACCCATGGGGCCCTCCCTGACCCCCATGGGCCCTTCTCTCCCTCCACCCCCCGAGGGACTAACCTATGGCTGTTCTGACTGTGGAGAGCGCTTTCCTGATCTTTTTCATGTCATGAGCCACAAGGAGGTCCATGTGGCTGAAAAGCCCTACCCTTGTGATGTCTGTGGCAAATGTTTTGGTTTCATTGAGAATCTGATGTGGCATAAACTTGTCCACCAAGCTGCTCCTGAGAGACTTGTACCACCAGATGAAACGGCAGCTGCTGTCGCCCCACTAGAGAATGGACTAGCTAGTGGTGAGAACATATCATCTTATGAAGATCATCCGACTTTGCCGAGTGGAGAACGTTTCTCCTGCTCTATCTGTGGCCAGACCTTCAAGCATTTCCTGGGACTTGTGACTCACAAGTATGTGCATCTGGTGCGTCGCACACTGGCCTGCTCGGTCTGTGGACAGAGTTTTGCTGGAGCTTATGACTTGCTGTTGCATCGCCGTACACACTTGCAAAAGCGGCACTTCTCTTGCCCAGTCTGTGGCAAGCGCTTCTGGGAGGCTGCCCTTCTCATGCGTCACCAGCGCTGCCACACCGAGGAGCGCCCGTACCGCTGTGCTGTCTGTGGGCGTGGATTTCTGCGGTCTTGGTACCTGCGTCAACACAAAGTGGTTCACACAGGTGAGCGTGCTTACAAGTGTGCCCTCTGCAACAAGCGCTTTGCCCAGTCATCCAGTCTGGCAGAACACCAGCGTCTTCACGTAGTTGCCCGGCCTCAGCGTTGCCCTACTTGTGGCAAGACCTTCCGCTACCGTAGCAACCTTTTGGAACACCAGCGGGTCCACCTGGGAGAGAAAGTCTACCGCTGTGACCGCTGCTCCAAGAGCTTCTTCTATCTGTCATCCATTCTGCGTCACCAACGCTCCCATGATGCTAAGCGTGAATTAAGATGTGGGGCCTGCCTTAAGCTCTTCAAAGACCCCAAGTATTTTAGCAAACACCTCCAGGCCCATCAAGGAGGACGGCCCTTCAAATGCAGCACCTGCGGAGAAGCCTTCTCCAATACTTATGGCCTCAAAAAGCACCGCCACATTCACAAGATGGAGCGCTTTGCTGCCATGGGGGCCCATAAGGAACAGCCCTAATGTTTGAATAGTAGCAGCAGAAAAAAAAATGGGTGGTCCGTATCTTGATACTGTAGGATGAGATGTGAAGCTAGTTCCAGGTTTCTGTGAGCCACGATGACAAGGCATTTCCATATATAGAAAATAAGACGAGCTTGTTGGCAGTGAGATGCTCCAGTTGGGCACTAATTTGGAAGAGTCATCAACCATAAAGTCACAAGCAGGACAAGCCAAATAGAGGCAAGAATGAATTGTAAAGATAGGGTATGTAATTAATAAGTGGTAGCCACCAGTTACTTGCTAGATTTCTGCTCTCTAACAGAATATCTTGACCACTCTAGATTTTTAAACTAATTGCCCGGGGAAAGGGAGATGGAGATAGCAATCATAGAAGTGACCTTTGCATGTCAAGCATGGCCACAGTGTTGGGAGATGAAAGTTTCCTGTTTCTGAGCAAATGGGAGCAAATAAGGTTATAGTGGAATGACATTTTTTTCATCTGAAGCCTATGTTCTGGAATGGAAATCATATGGCATTCCAGTTCACAAGAAGAGGTGGTGCTTCCTGTAATCTCCTTTACCTAGAGAGAAATGTTAGACCCAATTCATTAATTTGGGAATGAGACAGGAAGGACCAAGATACAGCACTTGAGGAATGTCCACCAATCTTTTGTGTAAACTCAACTATGTAATCTGTATTAGGTAAGCCTTGCTTGCATTCTCTGAAAGACTTTAATTAGTGTCCTTTCTTTATATGTATAAACAAAATAGTCTAGTTCTCAATTTTTTAAGACCTGGGAGGTAGTGACACATGGCTGTGGACAGTAGAAAGTTAACAGAGTCTGCTTGAATTGTCTAGTAGTGTGGCGGCACCTGTTGTCTAAATGCTGTTGTGCCATAACATTTCTATTATATCTCTGCCTCCAGAAGAATATCAGTTCATGATGCAACTGGAGGTTCACAAAAACTTTACCTATAAAAGAAAAGTTGAGCCCAGAAGGTTTTTAGCCAAGCTTCCCTGGCATGCCACTTTCCACATTTAGGAAGCACCGAATGTTAAAAAAGCATTTGGAATTTTTAGTCCTATTATGCAGCCCTGAAGAAGCAAAATCCCAGGATAATTCTATTGTGTGCTTTTCTAAATGTTCAAGTTGGCCCATCAGGAGTAGAGAGGAAATACAAAAATAGGCTAGGCTCCTTCCCCTTTGGGTTAGCTCTCTTCCTTTGTGCTCAACATTCTTCCTAATCTGTTGGACTTAATATAGATGAACTCATGTGTGAATAATACTTTACTTTGAGCCCTAAAATGGGATGTGGGTTTGGAATGAGAGCTGTGACTGTACATTGTTAGCCTTCCCTAATGTTAGCTTTCCTTCTGCCCACCACTGAAAGTTGGATATGAAACTGTGAGAAAAAAAATAAACTTAATTGGTGGGTCTACCAGGATTGCATAATGCTTTGGCTGCTTAGCTGCTCTCCTGCATTCCCTGGTTTGATCCATAAGACATTCCTAGTAAGACATGGTGTATCTACATAGTTCATTGAGCTAACTGCCCTGGCCTTGTAACTCCATGGTTATTAGACTTGTATAATGCTTCAGGTTTGACTCCAGAAAGGTTCTTCAAACACAGCATCAGGGATTGTGTGACTGCTGGAGATATCTAAAAGTCACCAATGGGTGTTGTATTTTTTGCCCCAAGCACTCCGAAGCACCTTATCAAATCTGAAGAAATGCAAAAAACCCTTTTATACTTATTTGACACCAGTCTGAATGGATCCTCCCTGCACCTGAAGTGGAGAATACTGACCAAGCATGAATAAAAAGATCCTTGCAAACTCTCTGACTTCCCCCAACAACCTTTCCTCCTCAATCCTCCTCCAGCAAATTGTACACACTGGAGCACATCTTTAGATAGACTGGAGGGGAAACTAATTTGCTAGATGCAACCAAAAAGTTGTAAAAACAGGCAACCTTGTGTACAGTGGACACCACATAGATAATTCCCACTTCCTTCCCCTCTTGTAACCCAAGCTGACAGTACAATAGAAAGTAATTTCAGCATTTCCATTCTCACAAAGTGAGAGCATCTCTTCTACTAGATGGCTGCACCAAGTGCTACTTGGTGTTGCTTTTGGTCTATCACCCACTTGCTCACATCCATAGTTCCCAGACTGGTGAGTGGCAATCCGTGATTGTGAGGATCCAAAGATGCACTGTTTAAATTTGGTTGTCCAGTGCCTAGAAGAGGAAAAGTTGCCAAAGTCTTTTTCAGTAGTAGATAATAGAATTGGAGTTTATTGAGTGCAGGTATTTCTTAAGGCAGCCTCCCTCTTTCCCGCAGAAGTCTTGGCCTACAAACCACTCTCTATGCTCAGTGAGCACATTGGGAGGGGGTGGGGGTGGATAGTGGTAGTATTTGTGAAAGGCATATTTTCAATGCTTTCTTGAAGGAATTGCATCAGAATTCGGTGACCAAATATAGAAGTATGATGAAGAGTGCAAAGATGGGAAAAGAGACGGGAAGAAGACAAATGTTTTCCAGCCTTCCAGACAATTTCGTTATTGGCTGAGCACGGGGGGGGCAAATCATGTCCACTTTGAGTGCCCATTTAGAATTTTTCTGTCCGAAATATACCAGTTCCTCTTCTATCTCCAGAAGTGATTGCAACTGGATGTTCCTTTTCTTGTTTTTTTCTTCTTACTAAATGGTTAAAGGTCTGAATAAGTCACTGAAATTCAAGTGAATTGTGGTAGTTATACCTCAGCCTGTCTTTTACAGAAATCATTTTCCCCATTTAGAATTTTTCTTCCCTGCCTTCATAATTTGCAAATAGAACTGAGTTTAATACAGATAGTCCTTGACTCACAAACACAATTGAGTCCAAAATTTCTGTTGCTAAGTTAGACATTTGTTAAGTGAGTCTTGCCCCATTTTATGACCTTTTTTGAAACGGATGTTTATTGAATCACTGCAGGTGTTAGTAACACATTGTTAGGTGATTCTGGCTTCCCCATTGCAGGAGGTCACAAAAGGTGATCACATGATCCTGGGACACTTACAACTGTCATGAGTCAGTTGCCAAGCATCTGAATTTTGATCATGTGACCATGGGGATGTTGCAATGTTGTAAGTGTGAAATGATCATAAGTCACTTTTTAACTGTTGTAAATTCGAATGATCACTAAATGAATGGTTGTAAGTCAAGGACTATCTGTATTAGTTTTCCTTCTCATTTGTACTGTCCATGCTTTCCTGGACTAGGTATTTCTAAATTGTATACAATTTAGAAGCCCCCTTGACAACTCCCTAAACTGGGAAGTACTTCTTACAGGAAATGCTGTTATTGGTTAATATCACCCATTCCTTCATTGGGTGGAGGGGTGAGTTCACCATGTCTAATCAATAGATGATGTTCCTGTTAACTGGCTTCCTAATAGCTTCCCAAATGGACAATGGAATATAAAATCACTAAGTTGATCAAAGAACATACTGTGTTCCCAAAATCACTAAATTTAAGCCTTTTTCTCAAGGACACAGGATTTCTAAAGAATTTCTTTAAAATGGCAGGCCTAGAACATAGGACATAAATTTTATGATTGTGAATGCTTGCTTCAGTCACAAAATTGGTGCAAACATATTTCGCTGCCGTAGGTCTTGCTTCTTAATTCAGAATGGTGGCCTGTTTCCTAGTCAAAAGACAGGACAATCATTCAAGTATGTTTATTTTTATGATCTCACTTAAAACGAATTAGGCCTTAACTAATTCTTATAATTCATGTACTTAAAATCTGATTGTTTGAAAAATGGCAAATGTGGAAATATATTTTTTCTTTCAATGTATAGTTGACAAAGAGAAGCTGAGAGTGCAAAATGGCTGCCTTTTCTATTTTTCTAGCAAACTAAATACTTAAAAAATGGATGGGCAGAGTGTTCGTTATTAGGGACATACCTGATTACTGTTATTGTCAGGATTATTTGCATCCATTCCTCATCCTAGGAACCGTTTGATTTGTCCAAATCTCTTTCTTCTGTTGGATTTGTTAGCAGGTGCAATTCATACACTTCAAACTGTATTAGTGACAAAATACATGGAATCTCCAGTTTTATCTAGAACATTGGTGCTCAACCATTGGTCTGCGGATCCCTGTGGGGCCACTATGTCATCACAGGAGGGTCTGCAAAGGCTTGAAGAAACGTTATGATTTAAATCTTGAGTTAAGTCTTGGAGGTTCGTGGCCACAAAAGATATTTAAAGGAGGTCCGTGGTGAAGAAAAGGTTAAGAACTGCTGATCTAGAAGGTATGAGGACTCTAGTCAAGTTCAGAGTAAGGGGCTAGAAGGCAATATTCCATGGACAGAGTTGAGTGGGAAGAATTTTTAAGGGAATGGTGGGTTGTTGAGGTGAAGTCTGGCTTTTAATTGTGGTTGGGAAATTGAGTTCTTTTGAAGAACCAGTTGGTTTGGAGTATGTAATCAAGAATGATCAACCATCTTTTCCACTGTACTCTTCTGCCTTGCATATGATCTTGGATGGATTGTTAATCCTGAATGTACATCACTAGGATGCTGTATATCCTACAGATGCCCACCGTCCACTTGGCTTTGTGTGCTTCATCCTGGAACTATGAAGCAGAGGGCAGGGAAGATATTCCATATTTTGCTGGCATCAGACCTGATTTTGCTTTTTGAGATGCCACCTGATACACAGCCATCTTCTCAACTTCTTCAACCCTCCTGTTCTTTGAGAAACATGGATTCTGTAGTTCTTTGACTGATACTGTTGTCTTTGTACTCTCCTTTCTCATCCCATACAGGGAGATGGATGTCTTTTAAGACAGGACTAGAACATCCCCAAAGTAGTAACAATTGCAAACTCAGAATGAAGAGTATGCCACTGATAGGACCCAACCCATTGCAATCATGTTAGCTAATGACTTTTTATATTAATACAGATATATAAATACATACATTTCTATATAAATACTTCTTTTTAATAACCTCCCCTCCTTTTCCCATTGGCCAGAGTGCAGGAAGTGCAGTTCTTTTAATGCCAAGGTTTATGTCCCTATGATAATGTGTACTAAAATATGTATAGGACCCCATTCTTGTCCACACGGCTGATAGACCTAAAATGATAACCTGTCCTTTCTTCCCTCATTGTACTCCTTGGGAACTGTACAGCGTGTGTTTCTCAGTCGGGTGGGGGAATAGGAGTGTGTTTTGTGTTTTAAGCCAAGCAATCATTTTAAAAGTGTCTGATTTACAATGTACAGACTAAACAAACATTAAAAAAAAGAATTTGGATATTGTTTGTGCTAAGCCAGGTTGTGTTACAAGCTGATGTTAAGAGGACATTCCTTCAAACAATGTGAGTATACTGTTAGAATTAGCACAGAATAACTAGGTTTATGATTCTTAAACTAATGAAAAAAGTAAAGCAAACTAGCAGACGCTTTTGAATCATTGCTATCCTATGTAAAAATAAATAAAAGGAAGGTGCATTTATTCATCCAGATAGATCAAATATCTCTTGTTCTCTACTGCAGAGAGAAAGGGCTTTTATTGTTCTTCTAGATTTGGCTTTCTTCAGCAAATCAGAGCATCCTTTTATTTGCTCAAAATCTCTTCTGCAGGTAGGAGGAACTTTAGACAACACAGAGAATAAATTTCTTTCACATCACCTTATTCTTAAATTAGATAAATCATTCTTATTGCAAAGAACGTGTTTAGAAACATTTATGCATGCTCATCTGTTCTTGTAAATTAATAATGGGATGAGATGACGTTGCGGAAAAATTTGATGGTATGGATTGAAATGGGATTTCTGGGTATATTTTACATCATGAGACTAGTAGAATAGTACTGACATTGTCCAGTGTCATTTTGCAATTCATGTGGAAAGTAGTTGACAATCTACCATGGACATTTAATTTTTTTTTATATTAAATAAGAACAGAGAAAATGCAGAATTGAGAAATAATTTTATCTTAACAAGTTTATAGAGCTTTATAAAGTTCATTTAAAAATTGGAAACGGCTGTTTCACTTACGTTAACAAAAAGGTATCTAAATTGACGAGGATTTGAATTGGAAGAGGATTTGAATTGAATTGGGTAGTAACAACACAGCCATTTAATTTTTTTAAAAGGTGCAGTTTTATGTAGAATTTTCAGTCATTTATATGTAAATCATTTGTGTTGATATAAACTATTTTGTCTCAAATGCTTGGATTTACAATAGCACTTAGACTTATATACCGCTTCATAGTGCTTTACAGCCCTCTAAGCGGTTTACAGCGTCAGCATATTGTGCTCTACAATTATCGAACTCAGAAGGATGGAAGGCTGAGTCAACCTTAAGTCTGGTGAAATTCGAACTGCCAAATTGCAGGCAGTCAGCAGAAGTAGCCTGCAGGACTGCACTCTAACCACTGTGCCACCACCGTAAAAGTACAGCGCAGAGTATAATGTCAACAAATTTTTTGACTGGATATTTGCCAATAGAGATTCCCTATGCATGTACACACACAAACACAGAGTTTACTTCATTGGCATAATGTAAGAAATTTTTATTTACTTGAAACTTTTGCAGCATATATTTTAGAAATAATTTTATACCAAGTTGAAAATACAGTCATAATTAAAATGAGTGCGTTCTAACAACTACATGTATTGCAAAATTATATTCCATGTCAACATCAAATAAGGTCAGTTTGATTCCATGGGACTCATGTCCAAGCTAGTAAGTTTAGAAATTCAACACAAACTATTCACTTCCCAGGTACTTTAAATTTGTAGGTAAAAAATTTTTCTTGTAAGAGGAAAATGCAGACATCTGACCAAAACATGGCTCTGTTCACATAGCATGCTAGCTTATGGTTAACAGAACCATGATTTATTAACTAGGTTGGGTGAGTTTGCACAGCATCTTGTGTTACCCAGTGGCTGAGCACAATCCATTGAGCTAGCAAGAAGGGCATAGGCAGTCCCCAAATCTAACCAAGTCTGCTTTTCATTTTGTGTCCCACTTTAGAAACTGCAACAGGCATTAATTAGTACAAACTTTTAAGGCTTACGTTTGTTGGCTTGGGTTTAATAAAACAGGTAGTCCTCCACTTAACAACCATTTCTTTGGCAACCATTCAAAGTTACAACAGCACAGAAAAAGTGATTTACAATCAGTATTTACATTTATGACCATTGCAAACAATCCTGTGGCTATGTGATCAGAATGCAGGCACTTGGAAACTGGTATGTATTTATGATGGTTGCAGTATCCCATGATAATGGAATCACCATTTGCAACCTTCCCAGATGGCTTCCAACAAGTCAATGGAGGAAGTCAAGATTTGTCTAAAATCCTAAAATTCCCTTAACGACTGCAATGATTTGCCTAACAACTGTGGCAAAAGTTGAGCATGACTCACTGAACAGAAATTTTGGTCCCAATTGTGGTTGTTAAGTGGAGAACTACCTGTAATGCCAAAACATGATTTTGACTGATTTCTAGATGATGCCAAATATTAATTGGAACTGTTCTGATCCCTGTGACTCAATTCAAGCCTGATATCGAACCCAGGATGGGGTTACCTAAATGCATTACAGATCTGCATACTCCTTCCTGCCTTTGCATTTTAAGTGTCTAGGGTTATTCACAATTTAGAATCAGAAATTGTAATTTGATTGTAGTCTCCAGTGTCTGGTTTTATCAAGCAGTAAGTCAAGGAAAGTGAGATACAACTGGCCTGCCTATGAAATGCCAGGTTCCAGCTAACAATCTGGTGCTTTCCAATGATTTGGGGCACAATTGCCCACTTTGAACATTGCTGATTGGTATTCATAGACATGGAGTTTCTAAATATCTGGTGGCACTGAGTTGTCTTGAAAATTTACTAAAAATCAACATTGTAATAGCACATTTCATCCTTGGTTTTTCATTCTACTTTTCAATGTA